CCCTCCTTGCTAGGCCTTGAATGCTGCACCAAACATACAGAAGAGGTTCATTTAAACATTACAGCCTCACGGGGAGTCTATGAGAAACCAGCCCTGCAGGGCATGAGCACCATGTAAAAGGATGTAACATTTCTAAGTTGTTTACAACACAGATAGGCCAGTGTGCAGGTCAGCTTTTTCTTTCCAGATATCTCTAGGCTAGTTACCCCACACACATACACACACACAGAGAGATCTGAAAAGCATATAAGTAGGGTTGCCAACTGCCTGGAGGGGGAAATTGTTCTGTCCCTTTCATACAGGCTTAATGAAATGTTATTTACCTCCATGCCATGAAAAGCTTCAGCTGCCCCTTTCCATGCACACATTAAGCCTCTATTAAAAGGAGAGGGCCAAAAGGAAAGGGGGTTGCAAAGTGAAGCAAAGCTCTGCCGTTTTGAAGGAGATGATTTCACCCGAATCCCCCTTTGGTGCTACAGCCACTCATGCAGTTGTTCATTTCTTTTCATTATGTGCCCCCTCCTTCCCCAGCCTCAGAGTGGTTATTTGGGACAAGTAGGAGGCTACTGAAGGAATGGGGAGGCAGGGAAAAATCTATTCTATTGAATCCAGGGAACTTTTCCATGGGATCTCCAGCCCTACCTATATCAAAATGTAGGCAGTCACTTGGTTGAACAGATACGTTCCCCAATATAAATACCTCCCCAGCCGCTATATGCTCTAGAGGGGGAGAGGTGCAAGTGCCTATTCTATCCTGTATTTTTCACCAATGGCACATAGAGCAACTTGGGGTAGTAGATGAGAGAAAAGTTGTGGGGCAGAAGGTTTAAACACCTCCTCTGCCCGTGCTGCTTCCCTGCTCACATTTGCAGCCTAAAGAGAAAGAGCACGAGAGAGCATTTATTTTAAAAAGGTTGGGAGATCAGTCCCCCCCCCCAACTCTTGCTACCTAAAATCCTTTAACTGGAGATGCTTATGATTGATCTTTGGGTCTTCTGTATGCAGATCATTAGACGTGTGTTTCTTTTATTACAATAATTATAAAAATCAGATATTTTGTAGTAATCACTATAATTAATATGAAAATGAAACAAATTCCCCATCTAAACAGGCTATGGAAAAAAACCATGATTTTTTGTTGTCCTGTTTTCTGTCATTATTGCAGTCTCTGTCTCTATTGGTTTCACTTTTTTCTTTATAAGGAAGAGGGCACAGTGTTCCTTAGGATGAGGGGGAGATGCGTTCTAGGCTTTCTTGACTGAATGCAGGTTACATAAATATGTGAAGTACTCCAATACGGATGGATACTTTGCTTTCCTCTCTCCTTCTAATGCCCGTCCTGCCATTCCAGATTTGCTCTTGCAGACACCCCCCCCTTTCCTGCTGCTCTCCAAACTTTACCCCTCATCCAAGCCTGTCTGTCCATATGCCTTGTGCCACCAAATGCCCTTGCCTTGTCAGTCTGCCTCTTCCTTGTACTACTCTTTTTCAAGCTAAGTGACTGTGGTAGTGTCTGTTTTATTGTTTGGAATCTTGCCTATCAACTTTTCCATAGACTTTAAAGTTAAGCATGCCTCGGGGTATTGGCTTTATTCTATCTGTGAAATTTGGCAGTGTTGGCAAGAAGGTCACAGAGGCCAAAGCCTCTGTACGTTGTTACTCTCCAGCACTGGTTCTTGAAGAGTTACCATCTCTGATCATGGAGATTCCATTTTGAGATAGCAAGGGATGGACTGCCCTTCCTGAACGTCAAAAACCAGCTGCAATAGTGGTTGTCACAACACCCTACAGCAATGAATTCCACAAGGCAATAATTCTTTGGGTGAAGTGCATCCTTACATCTGTCCTGAATATTCACTGTGTGCCCATGAGGTCTAGCATTATAAGACAGGGAGAAAAAGTTATCTCTAGCCACTTTCTCCATGACGTGCATGATTTTTATAAACCTCAGCATGTCCACCTATTAGCTAACAATGCAATATGAGTTTTTCCCTGTCATTATGTATGTAGCTGAGAGTACCGCAGCTCCCATCTTGGAGAAAAGCAGGCTAATGTTTTTGCTAGTGCGAACTATAATTCATTGGGGTTGGAATGGAAACCAACACATTCACTAGGGGTTTTAACAAGTGACCGGGAGGTTTTTGCAATCAATCAGGTCAAAGCTTGATGAAAACTGGAACTCCTGGAGTGAGAAATAACTCACTCCCTTCCACACTTCTATTTCAGCTTGTCATGAGAATAGGGATGACAAGACAGAATGAAAACATATCCAAGTCTGAAATTCAGTGATAACTCATTGTCCAGGTGGAGACTCGGTAACTAGAATATGGCACCCGATGCAGGCCTGCTGTGAAAGGAATTAATGCAGTATCCACTCAAAGCAGGAAAGAGAAGAACATCCATGTCTTGCTAGATTGAGTGTGGACTTGTCTCTTTGTTAGAAACTGTGGTTCTTTACTCAGGCAGAGGGATGTTGGGAATAAACTTTGAACAATAACTATTGGAACAAGGGAGCAAAATACTTAGGAGAATGATGACTTTCCATTGTTGGGGAGTGTTTAGAATTTTATTAGGTGGATATTTCTTGTAAGATATAATATGGGAGCAAGACCCAATCAAATGCTGCTGCAGCATGGACTTAGGAGATGATAGGTGAACCATGGTTAGGGCAACAAGATAACTTTAACTGACCGTAGATGTACAATTATGCTCTTTTCTAATGCATTTTGTTTGAATACGTTGCTATTGACTGTTTTCAATGCTGGTATTCCTGATTTTGGGGTTGTGGTGGCTCAGAGGTTAAGACGCTGAGCTGCAGACCAGAAGGTCTGTAGTTCAGTAGTTCAAGACCCTAGTGCCATGTGACAGAGTGAGCTCCCTCTGGCCTCCGCTCCTGCCAACCTAGGAGTTTGAAAGCAAGAAATTGCAAGTAGATAAATAGGTACCACTTTGGTGGGTACCAATCTGACCTCTGTATACACTGGACAAGAACTCACGCCTCGCCCACTGTTGTAGATAAATCAGAATTGGGCTCCCGGTACCATCCTTAGAGGAGTTCGGGTCACACATATCACCTCTCAGTCATCTCCTCTCTGGGATAAACATACCCAGCTCCTTCAACCTTTCCTCATAGGACTTAGTCTCCAAACCCCTCACCACCTTTGTTGCCCTCCTCTGGACACGTTCCAGCTTGTCTATATCCTTCTTAAATTGTGGCGCCCAAAACTGAACACAATACTATAGATGAGGTCTAACCAGAGAGGAGAGTAAAGCAATACCATCACTTCACATGATCTGGACACTATACTTCTGTTGATATAGCCCAAAATTGCATTTGCAATGCATCTGAGGAAGTGTGGGTGCACACAAAAGCTCATATCTTGAATAAACTTTTGTTGGTCTTAAAGGTGCCACTGCATTTGGGTCATTAGGAGCTATAGCAATTATCCCAGCCATTCCAAAATAAACTGATGGGAGGAGAGAGGGGAACTATCATGTCAGAAAAAGCCATCTTAGTTCTGAGCAATTAAATGGCTTGGATCCAGACTGGCAAATTGTTCACATACATACACTGCTGCGGTACCCTGAAAGTCCTGTTCCTATGGGACAGTGGACCCCTGAGGAGGACTGCATGGGTCATCTCAAGATGCAGCAGGAAGGGGGCAGAAAAATTGCACCCTATAGGTAGATATCCTTGCGCTCATGGAAAAGCTAATCCACACTGGAAAATGTCAAGCAAAATATTAAAGCTTCAGTAAACATTTTAGCCTGACTCCATATCACATCCATCACAGTAGTTTTTGAGCATACTATATCACCATTTTGTGCCCACTTTACATCTTCATATACACATTTGGCAACACTAGTCTGCCTCACTGAGCCTAAAAAAGAGTTTAGCCTGGGATAATCAGAAACTTGGGGAAGGATAATTAACCAAGTGTCTCTTCACAAGGCTGATTTTAAGACCTAAGCCCCCTGATACTGGTTGTGTTCACACTGCATTGTGGGAGCGAAAACGGAAGTTGGAAATCTGGCGGTGTGCTCTGCTTGGATTGTGGATGCAAAGTACAAATCTATTCAGATTGATCTGGGAGCATTAATAATTCATATGGTATGAGAGCTGCAGGAAAGGTGAATTTTAGACGCCCACTGGTATTCCAAGGCACTCTGCATACTGAGAACGGCTTAAGCCCTCCTCACAGTGGCCGTGTGCAATCAAAGTGGCAGGGAGACAAGGCTGCCTTGACAGCAGAATCCTGCAGTGAATACTCTAAATGCTTTGGAGGTACAGACTAGTGTAAAATGGAAAGCTTCCCAGGTTGATATGCGATAGGTGGGCTTGTGTGGTAATCATAGTAATCATAGTTGGAATAGGATTTGGGCGACTCAGGTTCAAATCACCACACTGCCATTCAGTGGACAGTCATAAACCAGGCACATTCATCTGTCTCCAGACGGGGAAGGGGAAGAAGAATGAGGTAAAATTCACTAGATGGGCGCATATAATCTGTGGGCTGACTCTGGCCAACAGAACCTAGAAGAAAGCTAGGAGAGTAGGGGAACACCTAACTCAAGCGACAGGAAGGTGTTAAACACCATTTTCTTGTCTCCCTGATAGGCTGCAATGATATGCGACAAGAACCTTGAGCTGTAAGAATGTATGCCTTCCTTTACATTCGTCATCTCCCTACTCCAGCCTTCCAAGAGGAGTATCTCACAGGGCAGGGATCTGGAAAGGCAATCTGAAAGACAGTTGAGGGGGCAGTGATAGTCTCTTATCTGGGGTGCTAAAAATGGAGCACACCCTTTTAATGTAACACCAGTACAATTCCTGTCTCATCCCAAGCCCTTCTTTGTTTAGGATTCTGTTTCTGGAATTCTTCATACTATGGTAACAATCTAGAAACATTCCTGTGATGTCACTGCTCATTATGAAGACTTCTGAAATGTTGGTCCCATGCATATTGGGAAGGATGGGAGAGTAGATTGTTCCTTGGATCACTAGGCTACAACTTGAAGGTTTGCTCTTTACCTGTCCTCTCTATTTATTATTTTTAAACATTAAAAACTTCCTTTATGTTATTAAAATAACATTCAGAGTGGCTTTGGACACTAAAAACAGAACAAAAATTAGTTGCTGTAGATTTTCCGGGATGTGTGGCTGTGGTCTTGGCATTGTAGAACCTGACGTTTCGCCAGTAACTGTGACTGGCATCCTCAGAGGGATAACACAGAAAGATGGAGCACAAAACATTACACTTTTCATAAAAACAGCAGCAGCCAAAACAAAAGCCAACAAGTAAAAGAGCAATTTTTTTTAAAAAAACCAACCATCTGAGGATATGTGCTTGCACACAAAAGCTTATACAGTGAATAAAACTTTGTTGATTTTAAAGGTGCCACCACTGGACTCAAACGTTGTTCAGTTACCAGCACTGATACTGAATCTGCAACCATATTCAAAAATAAAGAGGTCAGGACTAGGGGATAAAGTCGTGAACAAAGAAAGTGTCATCTGCCCATTTTCATCCACTCTTCCAGTTTCTATAATGTAGAAAAGTCTATTCTGCACAGCAGGGGAGAAAGCTCAAAATGGCAATGAACAAGAGAGGCCAGAGTTGCTTACGGTGCAATCCTATGCAGAGTTACTCCAGTCTAAGCCAATTGCAATCAGTGGATTGCATGGCCAGTCTCCTGCTTCATCAGCGGATTTAAAGGTAAAGAGTAAAATCTCTAGCTTTCAGCCTACTTAACACCATTTCCTCTTACTCAGCAGAAAGGAAACAAACGAAAGAGGGAGTTAAATCTCTGTGACACTTATTGGACCTCTTTCTAAATAAACACTGTCTAGAGCTCTAATGCTGTAAACCTCAAGTTAGAGCTGGGTCTTTTCAGAGCCCTGGCAAGGTTTCCCCCCACAATAGCTGTGTGAGTCTTTAAGATGGCACAAAACTGTTGTTTTTTAGGTTCTGTCATTTATTGCTGAGTGGAATCTGTCTGACAAATGGAGTATGTTCATTGTTTTAATGTTTTATGTGTATTTTAGTTTTAATTGGTTTAATGATTTTGTTGGTTTTTATGGTTTTTATTATATGAGGGCGGAAAGGCAGGGTATAAATCTTATAAATAAACAAATTCAATATACCATCTTTATTTTCACCAATCCCAAACCCGCTGAATTGTCTGCTGAGTTGGGGTCATCTTTCCCCATTCCACCTTTTATGGCCCCCATCAGATGGTCGCTGTAGAGTGTTCCTGCCTTGCTGACCCTCCCTGTCTTTGATTCTCAGGTGTCAAGATGTCACTGAAAGTGCAGACAAGTAACATCACGAACAAGAATGACCCCAAGTCTATCAACTCCAGAGTCTTCATTGGAAACCTTAACACAGCAGTGGTCAAAAAGTCAGATGTAGAGACTATCTTCTCCAAGTATGGCAGAGTGGTGGGCTGCTCCGTTCACAAAGGCTATGCATTTGTACAGTACTCAAATGAGAGACACGCACGGGCTGCTGTCTTGGGGGAAAATGGAAGAGTGCTCGCTGGGCAGACGCTAGGTAAGGACTTCTTGCATCCTTTCTCAAACATACCTGTAAGAATTTTGCCTGTGCATTTTACAAAGAAAATATCTCAGAAACCTGACGGTCTTTATGGAATTGTGGGAACAACCTTTCTATGACAGACAGAGCTGACTGTCCCTTGGTGGTGCTTTTCTCACTGAAAGCTGTTCTCTTAATAATGTAGAACTTCTAGTAGAAAAAGGAGACACCGTGAACGATGGTTTCAAGCCTGTTTTGAGAGCATCCCAGCCTTGAAGGCATGAAGCTCTCAGGAAAGCTCTAAATGAATGTGCTTGAAAAAACCAACAATCTCAGCTAAAGAGTTCTACAGCCCCAATGAGAGTCCTAAAAGGACAAGCCTGAGGAAGCTCTGCAGCCTCAGCTAAAAAGCTGTGCATTCCCCAGAAAGCTTTAAAAGAACATTATGGAAGACGCTGCCCAGTCTGTTAGGAGCGCAGCAGTCCCTGAGACAGCCAATTCACAGTAGCTTGGAGGCTGCGCAGCCCATTTAGTCAAGGCTGTGGAGATTCCCCAAGAATGTTACTTCAGGGCCAGCCTGGAAATCCAATGACCCCCAAGGAAATCAATGGACAAAGCTCAGAAGCAAGGCTCATTGTATCTAAAACTGAGTTGTTTTGAGTAGGAATGTTTTTGATAGAAAAGAGACCCCTTAGATCTTATACAACTGCAGAATGTTCCCTTTATTACATACAAGCATTTGCTCTATGAGCTAAGTGCCAAAAGCTACCTTGGACCACTAGGAAAGGTGAGGTATAAATGTTTTAATAAATAAATAAATAGAAGTTACAGTTATTGTGAGCAAGGATGTCAAAAGCCCATCTTAAATAGCAATTGCCCTCTTTGGGCTACAAGTAAAGATAGGAAATGAAGGAACAAATATTTGATTAGGCAGCACTCTGCTGAGGTTTAAAAAAAAATATTAATCTGTAACCAACCCAAAATAATTAATTCACCACTTATTACTGGCCCCACCACCCAAAAACACCAGATACCAAGTGAAACTAGGGTTTCTTAAAGTTTTAATAGCTGAACAGCAACTAATTTACTTATTCTCATCTCTTTAGTGTGAGTTCCCTAAGAGGCTACCAAAGAGTTGCCAGCAGTTGGGCATCACCCCAAATTCAAGGCTGGACCAATAAATTAGCCACTCCCCACTTATCATAGCCTTCACACCCAAACATGCCAAGGTGTGCTGACAACTTCCCCCTATGGTGATCAGCATGTCATCTCCAGCATGGATGTCCAGCACTGAGAGAGTTCCATTCCTAGGCCTGGGACCAGCCATGCCTCAGTATCTGGTTTAGTTCCCACTCCCCCCTGCAAAGATACCTCCGGATGCTTGCCAATATAATACACCTCAATCATCCAACCTGCACTAATCCTGCTACCTCTCCTGGCAGAGTTTAAACATGCAGAGGAATGGAGCACCAACTGTTCAAAGAAAATAACTTCGTTTATTAAAGAAGAAATAAACTCTGATATACCAGAGGAGAGGGAGAGAGGCTTAACTAAATGACTAACTGCTGTGAGAGACAGGAACAAAGGAGGAGGGCTCAGTTGGAGCAGGAAGTCTCCAAAGAGCCAATCAGGAGACAGGAAGGAAAAATGTTGAAATTGTGGGAAGTCCCTAATCTAGCTATGCTAACTGGCAGTCCTTCAGCTGTCCCCTATAGGCTGTTCTTCTGATCTTCTTCAGGTAGGTGCATTATAAACCTTGTATATTCCAACAGTCTCTAGCCAGGACCCCTTTTTCTGCTAACACAATTTGCATGGGGGAAAGTGGGATGGTGAGTAGGGTTGCCAGCTCCAGGTAGGGAAATTCCTGGAGATTTGGGGATGGAGCCTGGGGAAGACAGGGACCTTGGTTGGGTACAATGCCATACAGCCCATCTTCCGAAGCATTTATTTTCACCAGGGAAACTGATCTCTATTTATTTATTTATTTATTTTTCGCATTTATACCCCACCCTCCCCAATGGGCTCAGGGTGGCTCACAGAGACAAGGAAAAGAAAACCCGAGCCATAATTAAAACATATGATACATAGTAAAAACATCCAATATTAAAACAGTAAAACAGTGGTGCTCAATCAATAGTCTGGTTAACATCCACCCCCACACATACTTTAGCCAAGGTCCATGCCCAAAAAGCTCTGCACACACTTTTGGGGCAGATATTCAGCCCAAGTTTGCTCAGAAGCAAGGATGCCTGGATTTTTAAATTTTCCCATCTTTACAGTCTCCCTGAATTAGGGATGCCAGCCTCCCCAGGTTCCCTGCCGATATGGGACTATTTTCACAGCTTTCCAACTCCAAGAAACAGGAGAGAGGGGTTTTGGAGGAAATTTGTTGCTCAAAAACCATTCCCTGAGGGGCTCCCAATCCCGACAGAATGTTTGGATGCAGAAACGTGCAAGCAGTAATTTCCAACCCTGGAGCAAAGATCCACTTTTGTGCACATTGTTAACTGAATTTTTAAAATTGTACAAAGACAGAAGTGTGCGATCAGGCTTTCCAAATGCCTTGAGAGCACGATGGATTGATCAGACATCCAGAAATGGGGGGTGAAAGCACTGACATCTGTAAAGATGGGACTTTCTCTGGTGTCAAATAACTCAGACTCCAAGATGGGTGAGAACGGGGTGCTGATCACTGGGGGATGGGAGACAGATGCTGCTGTCTGAACCTGCATTTTAAATCTGCATGGCAACAGCAACGACATCAGATCAAACAGCTCGTCTGTTCACAGCCCTTGTCTGCTTTAATTTGCACCCAGCATAAGGCCATGTATTATTTGGCCCAATGTGGATGCTATTGGGAAGCTAGTGTATCCCCCCCACCCAGTTCCTCACAGCATCATGAAAACCCATGTACTGTAGTGGTTAAAGTGTTAGGCTAGGTTCTGGGAGACCTCTGTTCAAATCCCCACTTGTCCATGGAAACTTGCTGGGTGACCTTGGGCCAGTCACACACTCTCAGCATAACCTACCTCACAGGGTTACTGGGAGGATAAAATGGAGCAGAGGAGAACAGTGTCAGCTGACTGGGTCCCCATTGGAGATAAAGGCAGAATATAAATGAAGTAAATAAATAAAATGAATCATGGTGCTTCCATGTATCACCTGGGTTTTCCTTATCTTTTCTATAGTCTTTCCCAAGGCTGCTTTGCTGCAGTGTTTTGGGAAAGCTCCCAATAAGATCTTGAAATTACTACTGTGTGGGTAAGAAAGTCTGGATTTTCTTGTCCCACACACATAGCAGCTGCTTCTCATTCCCTAGACTCATGACAGCCATTCCCCCACAATGTATCAATGGAGAGGAAAGCCATTTCAAATGAAGTTGAATGAAATTAATAAATAATTTTGAATGGGTTTTTTTGTAATGGTAATTTGCATGTTGCTCTAAAGGTATGGGGGGCTTTTCAGGATCTTTTTAATGGTAATTGACATATTGATATAGATCAAGATGGGCAGCCATGTTTGTCTGGCTGTAGCAGTTTGGTGTAGTGGTTACGTGCGTGGACTCTAATCTGGGAGAACCAGGTTTGATTCCCCACTCCTCCACTTGCAGCTGCTGGATGACCTTGGGCAAGCCATAGTTCTGTCAGAGCTGTTCTGGAAAGAGCAGTTCTCGAAAGAGCTCTCTCAGCCCCACCTACGTCACAGGATGTCTGTTGTGGGGAGGGGAAGGGAAAGGAGTTTGTAAGCCGCTCTGAGACTCCAAGTGAAGAGCAGGGTATAAATCCAATCTCCATCTCCTCCTCCTCCTCCTTCTTTTTCTTAGCAAGAGTCCTGTAGCACCTTAAAAACCAACAAAATTTGTTGTGGGGTATGAGGTATCTGAAGAAGTGAGCAGTGGCTCACAAAAGCTCATACCGTGCCACAAATTTTGTTAGTCTTTAAGGTAGTACTGGACTCTTTCTCTTTTCTACTGACATATTGATATATATGACAAGCAGTGGGTTAAAAAAGCCCAGGGGAAAAGGACCCATCCCACTAGCATAGAGGGTTGACCACCATGGGAACTGGGAAGATGCAGGAGAACCGTGCCATCTGGAAACCCCATTGCTACTGTGCTGCATTATCAGCCACAGCAACAGCAGTGCTTCCAAAGGAAAACATTGGCATGTGGAAAAGGACAAGATTAAAGTATTCTCATTGTACAGCTTTTCATGCTGACAGATGCAAAAAATAAATAAATGAAGCAACACCATAAGTGTTCTAAGTACAGCTATCAAGTGAGACCTCAAGTAGAGCTATCAACATTTAGAGCTATCTGCCTATTAACCCATTAGTCAATTAATTGGTTGATTAAATTTAAATACATATACATATTAACAAAACCTTAGTATCTCCAAATGGGATGTGTACTGAAGGCAGTGCAAGATAGTTTACAATATAATAAACTAGTGACTGTTCATGGTTGTAAGACCATCTTTTTATTCCCTGCTGCAGAAACACTCCAAAATCTTTAATCACCTTTAAAAAATTGGCCAGTGGCTATCTGAATCAACAATTAAAGCTTTTCCTCCCCAATTAAAGCTTTTGTTGATTAATCCATTAACTGCATTGATTTCAGTTTGCAGTACAGTTGCCAACTCCAGCTTGGAAAATTCCTGGAGATTAGGGGGTAGCACTCGGGGAGGGTAGAGTTAGGGGGGGAGTAAGGATGCTCAGCAGGGACGTGATGTCATAGAGTCCACCCTCCAAAACTGCCATTTCCTTGAAGGCAACTCATCTCTGTAGTCCAGAGATCAGTTGTAATTCTGGGAGAACTTCAGACCCCACCTTGGGGCTGGTGACTCTAGTTTGCAGAGCTGAATTAAAGCTAGTTAGCAGAGCTAGGTGAAGCAGGGTTGGGTCTGCTTACCTATCCACAGGCTTCCTGTGCAATTCTTTGCAAATAATCTAGTGTGTTTGCTGTAGACCTGCTAGAGGTTTTCCTGGAAGAAAAACAGATGTTCTACAACCAGGTGTCC